TAGACTTTTTAAGCGAATTGTGGACATTAAAGTCATTTTTTGAAGGGGGCTTTGTATGGGGGCTAGTGTCAAAAGAGGCCCGAAACTCAACACGGTCTTCAAGGCTAGTATAAAACTTAGTTGTGCCGTTTTCTTGTCGAGATACGAGTATATTAAAAATAATTATGAGCTCAAAAGCCCTTCAATTTATCAGAATCTATACTGGCAGTTAACCTGTTAAAAAGATGGCGAGATGATAATTCCCTTATTTGGGTAAGAGGACAAGGGATATAACTGGAAATAATATTGCTGATACCTTGGCAAAAGCTGGAACTACGATGGCTATACTTGATATAGACCAGTTCTGTAGTGTTTACGGCCATTAAAAACCATATATCCGATATTCAGCTCAAGACGGTTGTCACATGAGCACACTTGCTCAATTGCTAAGGTGCTATAGCCTCGTATGGATCCTCAAAAAACATACTACCTAAATTGTAGGTTTCAACAAATTGTAAATTTGGAAACCATGCAAGACGCATGGCTCTTCATTAGTAGGTTTTTATTCGACTATTCAGTACCTATGATGGAAATTTTATGAATTGATATTGAAAAATTGACCGAGTATACCCTTGTACCGCTGTATCTAGAAAGCACTGTATTATTTTTAGTACTTTGAATTAATTTGTTTTCCAAAAATTTCACAAAATACTTATGGGAAAGCTTTCTGTGTTAGTAAACACATATTAAGTGTATTCATATTGTAATATGAAATAGAAAATGTTATTTTTGTCGGCAATTTATAAAGATTTTTTTAAAAATTTACTTATATTTTTCGGGATTTAGAAATCCCGAAAACCCCGAGATCCCGATATCGGGTCCCGAAATTTTTGAAAAATTTTTGAAATTCAGTCCGAATTGCATCCCTAATACCCACAATCAATATTTTATTATTATATGTATATCGATATTAATGAGAATAAAGGGAAATATTTAAAAGAGGTCCATTAATGGGGGTTTAACTATTGACAGTGCTCTTTCGAATTAAATATATTAATTAATATAGGGAGTAGGGTTATTTATTCATATATGGACCAATTCTCATAAAAGTAGGAAAGTAGGAAGATTTCAGTTCATTATATATTTCAAATTTCATAGATCTATTTGTATTTTTAAGCCAGCAATGAGCATAAGTCATTTTCTTAAAGGGACCTTATACGGAGTTGGTAAGGGTTAATTATGGACCGATCCTCATAATATATGGTAGAGAGATTTTAGCATAAAATTAGTTTATGTCGAATTGCATTGCGGTATTCGTATTTTCGCGTTGTAGTCATTTTCTGAGGCGGAACTTATATGGGGTGGGGTTATAATGGACTGATCCTCATACAAATTGGTAGAGAGATTTCGGTTCCTATAGAACTTATCAGTGTCGAAATTCATCACTGTACTCGCATTTTTAAGCCAGTAATGAGCGTTTAAGTAATTTTCTGATGGGGACTTTAAATGGAGGGTAGGGTCAATTATGGACCGATCTCCACAAAATTTTGTAGAGAGATGTTAGCTCATACAAAACTAGTTTATGTCGAATTTCATATATCTACTAGTATTTTTAAGCCAGTACTGAGTTTTTCTTAAGGGGCCTTATATGGGGGTAGGGTCAATTATAGACCGATCCTCTTAAAATTTTGTAGAACGATCTTGGTTTATACAAGTCATGTTTATATCGAATTTCATCGCTTTACCCGGTTTTAGGCCAGTAATGAGCATTAATGTAATTTTCTGATGTGGACCTTATATGGGAGATAGGGTCAATTAAGGCCCGATCCACATAAATTTGGTTAAGAGATTTTGGCTCGTAAGGAACTTACTTGAGTCGAATTTTATTGCTATATTCGTATTTCTAAGGCAGTAATGGGCCTTAGAGTAATTTTCTGATAGGGACCTTATGATAGGGACCTTATTAAGGCCTGATCCACACAAAATTTGTTAGAGAGATTTTGGATCATATAAAACCTACTTCTGTGAAATTTCATAGCTATAGTCTTATTTTTAAGCCAGTAATGAGCGTGAAAGTAATTTTATGGAGGGGACCTTATATGGGGGGTAAAGTCAATTATGAATCGATCCACATAAAATTTGGTGGAAAGGTTTTGGCTCCTAAGATACTTACTTATGTCAAATATCTTCTTACTTATGTCAAATATCTATAGAACTTACTTGTGTGAAATTTCATCGCTATACTCGTATTTTTAAGCCAGTAATGAGCGTTAAAGTAATTTTATGGAGGGGACCTTGTATGGGGGGTAGGGTCAATTATGGACCGATCCACATAAAAATTTAGTGGAAAAATTTGGCTTGTATAAAACTTACTTGTGTCAAATTTTACTCGTATTTTCACGCCAATAATGAGCTTTAAAGTCATTTTCTAAAGGGGGCCTTATATGGGGGGTAGGGTCAATTATGGACCGATCCACATAAATTTTGGTAGAGACATATTGGCTTGCATGAAACCTATGTGTGTCGAATTTCATCGCTATATTCGTATGTTTAAGTATATATGGGGGCGTAGTGCACAATGTGGTCCTATGTCCGCCAAAATCAGAATTTTATTTCGGAAGTCAAAAAACTGACTTGGCATTTGCTTCATAAACAACGAATTTGTGAATGTTTGAAGCCTTTTACACAATATTCCAGGGGGTACATTTGTATGGGGGCTATGTGAAATCGTTGACCGATTTTGCCCATTTTCAATAACAAACATTTCTGATCAATAAGAAATATTTTGGCAAAATTTAATCTCAATATCGCTTTTTTGTGGACGCTATCGTGCCAACAACAGACAGACGGACATAGCTAGATCGACTTAGAATCTTACGAGCTCCCAGAATATATATACTTTATGGGGTCTGTGAACAATATTTCGATGTGTTACACACGGAATGACAAAATCAATATACCCCCCATCTTTTTTGATGATGGGTATAAAAATCGAAACTTCAGATTTTTTGTGTAATCAAACTTAAACTGTAAAAAAGCTAAAAAAATATGTAAAGTTTGAAAGCTCACTGATGTAAGAGTATTGTGAGTAAAATGAAATAAAAATACAAAAATCCTTTTGTTTCTTAAGAGCCAAATAGCCCTGCAAAAATTATTGGAGTATTCTAAAAACTACTCGCCTGTAAACATTATTGGAGTAAATGATCCGTTTAGTAGACCTTTTTAATGCAGGCATGGATCATGTTTAATATTTTTTGAAAACAACATGATCCATAGCCTGCATTACATAGGACCATGTTGCGGATCATGTACTCCCATAATTTCAGCAGGAGACTAGTTTTGGGATTACTCCGATGTAATGTATTAATGGATTACGTGGTCCTCACCTAGGATATCACACTGTTAAATGTTTTTCCATATATTTGGATTAGTTTTGGACTAGTCCTAGTAGTCCCAATTTTTGCAGGGAGACTACACAAGCGCACAGTGGATAAAATATGGTATTTTCCTATCAAAAATCAATAACTTCCTCGTTTCTCTTAACTTCCCTAATCGATTTAACGATGTCAGTCCTCCCGTGTTTCCATAAAGAAGTTATTAACAAAATATAGGTCGCAATTTTCAAGATAATTTGAAATTGGTCCATTATTTCCGCTCTACTCCATGCAAGCGGACCTTGCGAATGTGACTTTAGAGCTCATAATTATGTTAAATACATATATTTTTATCTAAACAAAAATCTGCACAACTAAGTTTTATTAAGTTTAAATAATACTGGTAATTTTCGTAATGATCGGTATAAAATTGGCCATAGTCCCTATACAAAGTACCTTTCAAAAATATGCTGAAATATTTACAATTAACTTAAAATATCAGTATCGCTTTTAAAATCTTAAAATATAGATATATATATATGAATATAAATTTATTGGTCATATTTCATGACGACCCGCCTATATTTAATAATTAATGATCGGTCAACCGTACGCCCATATTTCGGCCAATAGGAGGAAATATATAGTGTGTTTTGCCAAAAAAATTTATTTTTAGGATAAGTTAGATTTTTTTAGTTTTTTCGTTAATCGTAGTTAATCGCAGCTGAATTTCACATATAAGTATTGTTTATAATAGGTGATGCTATATAACATCTAAAGGATTTGCCTGGGCATTCCTGGGCACTTAGTTAAAATCCTTTTCAAAGTTGAAATTGTATGTAGAAAAATTTATTATAGCTTAAAATATGCAACGGATAAGATATAATTAAAATTTGCAAAATGTAAATTAATTTCGTATATATCCCATTTTAAAAAATATATAACTCATGCTTGGAGTTCAATTAAAATTATAAAAAAAATGCATTCAACCTTGAGCTTCAAAATACTTTTCAATATCTAATGTGAAAATGCCTAATTTCAAACTTTATTTTCATGAACTTAGAATCCATACGTTAAAAAACTATATCTATATTAGTGTGGTGCGTTATCTCAGCTTTACGGAAATGTCTATTATTTTGCACAGCACTGACAATGTTTATTATTGTCAAAAAAATATGCAATATTATTGCGATTTATTTGAAATTCTGTAATAGGGTAATGATGAACAATATTTTTTTTAATATAATCTAACAAAATTGCAAAAGTGTTGCGGAAAATATTTATTTTGCTCATTTAGAACAAGTAATATTTATACAAAACTTCATCGCGTTTGGTGCGGGAACTTTATTAGCGATCGCGAAAGAAATAATATCACATTCCGCAACATCTGATTATGCTACGGTATTTTTGATATTTGCAAAAATTGCAAAAACTCATAACCCTAATGTATATATCCGTTCAAACTGAATGGTGTCATCAAAAAATTTTGGTGATGAACGTTCTCGGGAAAATTGACCTCAAAGTCAAAATCGAAAATGGCTACATTGGGGAGTTATTTCATGTCGCCTATTTTTGCACTGAGGAATGCAATACTTTTTCATTTAGATCTATTTTTACAAAATCGACACAGATAGAAGAATACATTACCTTACTATATCTTCATCGTTGAATGAAACACTATCGACAGCCAATCGTTTTAGTTGTGTATTATTGCATATTAGCGCCTTTAAAGCCATATTGGTCATAGGACTGCTTAACATTTCAAGACCCTCTAAGCAAGTAAAACGACAGTGATTAGAATTGGCATAAATTAAGCCATCCATCATATAGCAATCTAAATCAATTAGACCAGGACACATTCGAGCCAAAACATTCAAGTCCAAGTCACCATTGCTTTTAATCATTGTAAGATGGACTAAATTTCGGCCGATATTTTCGAGTAATTTCACCAATTCATTTGAAGAAAATTTATATATTTTAAGTTTTCGCAATTGGGTATTAGCGAGTGCACGCAAACACCCAACCTTTGGAGTATCCAAGTAAATTGATTCCAGATTTGGACACGTCTTTACTATTATTTTTACAGCTTCTTCGTCTGAAGCTGTATCATGGAGATATTTTAATTTGCAAGTAAAGTTCTTATCAACATTATCATGAACAAATTTCAGTGCAGGTCCAACGAACGAATACGTTGACAGAGTTTCAACATTGGGACAATTTTCTAAAATAAGTGCAATATCAGAGTAACAAATATTTTCCTCTCCTGGCATACCGACGTCAATGACAGTTAAACGTTGCGCACATAACCCCTTGCTAAGATATTCTATTCCAATTTCGGTAATATCCGTCTCACCAGATATGTCTAGTACTTGCAATCGTTTGCAATTTTTTCCAATCACTTGCAGAAGATCATCGTTAGCTATATAGGGAACAAAAAGCTTTGTAAGATATTGACATTTCTTGACAATTTCGAACATGTAGTGCATGTGTTCATCCTTAACCCAAATTCCTTTCAAATTAAGAACACGTAACCCAGCTCCTTGCGCTGCAATCACCTGTAGTATTTTTTCATAATATGAAAATGGAAAAACCTCGGTCACCAGAAAGGAAACCCCACAATTTAATAACATCTGCAAACAGGTAAAACGCATACTTGCATCCAAGTAGTCGGAACTCAGAATTACTCGCAATAAATCCTGATAGATGTTTGACGTCGCACCAGCCATTTCTAAATATTGGTTTATTTCAACCATAACAATGTTAATATCGAGATCAACGTCCGGAGCATACTTTGCATATCCCAGCGTCGATACAATCAGATTAGCCAACTCTCCTAAAGAACTATCACTCAATGATCGCACGTTACATTTTTTAGCCATATTTTTAGTCTAGATTTTATTTTTGAAGTTTTTTATTTTAAAAATAAAAATATATATGTTTATTGGATATTTTATTTGTCGCGTTAAACACATTAATATACACGTAGTTAGTGATACTTTTCTCTAAGCTCTCTCACTCTCATCCGCTTTCGTTTTCTTCTCTCGCGTTATTCTTTTTTTAGTTATCGATCATTCTAAATTATTATTGTTGTTTTTATTTAAAATATTGCGTATAAACAATGAATTTGTTTGTAAACAAATTTCTTGTATATGTATGTATAAGTGTTGTTTCCTTCACATCATATAAATTTTTGCTGTCTGTCGTCCATTTTTTGTCTGTTTTCGCCACAAGATGAAAAGCTTTTATGCCAAAACACTTTCAAGTTCAATAATTTGCATTGTACTAAAAACATTTATTACATCATTATTAAATACTTTTTTCTGTATTTGCATGATAAATCTACAATTATTCCAAAAAATTTATCTTTTAAGTATTTATCCGAATATTATCAATTTAATTTTTAACACAATTCCACAGGTGTTTGTTTATTTTGAACAATTATTGAAGTATGTCCAATACAAAATATTTATATATTTTCAATATAGGAACCGGGAAATGATACATTCGAACGAGACCAATCTTATAAAGGTACTAAAAAAGCTTTCATTCTTTTGTTTTTAAATATAAGACTGCTTGTACACAAATCTAGAACAAAATACATATGTACATATGCATGCACAGTGCTGTGCGAAATAATAGGCTGTTAAAAAGAAAATATATTTATTTCGATATATATCTCGTAAAAAATTATAATTTTAACCCCAAAACATTTTGAAATAATTTGGACTCAGTGACTCATTTTTTTCGCTCTTTCTGCACATAACAAAAATACCCGTAAAAATAAATTTACCGTTATTTCTCACACTCTTACCATTTTTTATTCATTATATGGCACTATTTACATTTGTAAATGTCACTCTTTTTCGTTGAATTTTGGACCTATAATTAATTTAATCAAATTCGATAGCATTAGCCGGTACTTTACCTGATATAATGCAACAAGTTTTTGAGTATGTAATTAAAACTTCCAAATAACATTTATTACGAAATATTTCAGCCAAATTAAAATAAGTCTATTATTTTGCCCAGCACTGTATATATGTACATATATACTTTTGGCACACTGAAGAAAATTATTTAGGAAATGTATTTATTTTAGAAAAGTTTAAATACCTTCATATGGTTACACTGCATACTTAACATTATAAAATTCCTTTTTTATCTTCGTTATATGAAAATATACCATGTTCATACGAAAATATGAACATATGAAAATATACCATGTTTCCATCAATATTATATTAATCAGTTTTTTACCAATTTTTTGCTCAAATTGGAATCTGCGATTAGTTTGTGGATATATGGTATACTATTGACGTAATAATTATACAAATTAACGTAAAAAAGAAAATTATTCAAAAATATTTCTTGAGCAAATTGTTAAACCCGCGTAGGTCTCACAGATCGAAAATCTCTGAAAAAGCATACATGAAATGTTTGCAAGAACTTTCTAACTATATTAAAACGAAGCTTACATCAAATCACAAAGCTAAATATTAGCGTCGATATCTTGCCGTTTCTTTTTTAAAATAAAAAATCACAATTTTTAAAAATCGGTCTCACAGACGAAAGCGCGGATATAGGAAGGTAAAATACATGAAATCTCAAATTTTGCACAGGCAACTTATGAACATTTGGAAAAAATGGGTAAACTATCAAAAGCGGGCATTGCATCTCACATATAAATTAAACACAGGTTCCGACTTAATTTATATGGAATTTATTCGCCAACAGGTTCGACTAGAAGCGTTTCCTTTAGAAGCGGTTCAAATAGAATCGTTTTTTAGCAAAACAAATAATGTTCACGATAATTTTGAGAACAGGTTCCTACTTTATCAATTCTAGAACAGTGCCCCGTTTCTGCAATTCTCGCATCGAGAAAATCTGTCGAAAAATTCATGATAATCTTGTGTAAAACAGGATGAAAATAAGAAATTTAAAAATTTCTTATTAAATTTTAATGAATACAGTTTAAAAATAATCAGAGTCACACTGTTAAAAACTGGAAGACTATTATATTTTAAGTTTTTTCACGATTCAAGAAAATTACAGAAACGAGGTACAGGTTCCATTAGAACCTTAGTATTAATGTGTTTTCTATGGCATTGAATTTAAAGAATTCAACGTTGAAAAATTTGTCTTTTGGTCGATGAAATTAATTTCTGAGCCTCCGTTTGTCGACTAGAGATATGGAAGTGTGTTAAACCGTAAAAAGAAATCTTAAGGGTTTTTTATTTATATTGTTTCTAGGGTAGGGAAGCAGACTGGGTACTGCTAGTATATTATATTGAAATTTTATTTATAAATTAATTTTTCCATTGTTAACGATATATTACAATATGTACAAGAAAAGAAGTTTTTTTTGAAAATTTAAGTCGGAATTACAATATGTACAAGAAAAGAAGTTTTTTTTGAAATTTTTTTTTTTTTTTTGAATTATTTAATAAAAATTACGAATTAAGATCTGCAATGACAATTTTTAAAAATCTGATACAAGAATCATTCATCATTCGTTCGCCATACTAGAGCAGATTTGCTAGTATTGAGAAAACATTGTTGGTACTTTGTCTAATTCAAAAAATTTTGGTATGTACATTTGTGTATGTTGGACCAACTCATAAACATAATTACATAGAAATATTCGAATACGGCCTTGGGCTCGGCTCAACCGAGAGACCTCAATATTAACCCGGCGAAGACGGAAATCTGTCTTTTCACAAGGAAGTCAAAAGTATCTACGTATACTGAACCTTAGTTCCTGGCTAAGAAGATACCAGTGACAGACAAAGTTAAGTACTTAGGTGTAATCCTCGACCGAAAATTTAAATGGAGATACCACATAGAGGATAGAATCAACAAGGCACATCAGTGCTGGGCGATATGTAGGAGAACTATAGGCATGAAATGGGGTCTTAGTCCTACTATGACAAATTGGCTTTATAAAAGTGTAATTAGACCAATTCTAGCTTATGCTTCAATAATCTGGTGGACTGCTTTGGAGAAAAAGTGTAATATCAAACTACTACAGGGAGTTAAGCGTACATGCTGCTTGGGTAGAGCATGTGAAGAGGACAGTGAAACTCTGGAAACTCTTTGCCACTGTCAAGCATTCGTCGAAGTTAGATCCAAGCATAAATGATGTTATTCCGGAAATAACATTCCTGACTAACACTGATTGAAAATTCTTAGGAATTACGTCCAGGAAACTGAGTTTCTGAACATTGAAAAATAATATACTCAGTGAACAATTTTTTTCATGAAAAGGAGCGCACATCAGGCCCGAAGAAATACACACGCCTAGGTGTATTTCTTCGGATTTGATGTACTATACATCCTAGAAATATTCTTAGTTTTAAATATTTTAACGCGTTTTTAGTAAAAAGGATATGACAGCAGACCTTTCTCCAATTTATGAAAAAACCAATTATTTATATATTATTACTAGAAAGTTTCAGAATTTTATTACAAACTTTGTGCAAAATATCGTTATTTTCTATTCCGGGATATCTAAATTAAGTATTTTCACCATACATGGGAGTAGTTAATTATATCGACTAATTAATTGACGATTTCATTAGCATTAAATTGAAAAAAATTATAATATTTTTTTTAATTAGCATTATTTTGTCTAATGGTAATGGTTTTTAATGAAACGATTTCATTAGTAATTATTTAAAAATAAATTTTCATTACCATTATTCAATGGATTTTAAAAATTTTCGAACATTAGTTCGAATTTCGAAATTAATTTCGAATATCCGAACATTATAATGTATTGTCATTAGGTGAAATCATGTATGCCAAATTTCAGCACATTCGGACTAGAAGAACTAGTTTTAACAGCTTTAAAAAATTTTCGAACACGAGTTCGAATTTTCGAAATTTTTTTTTTTAGGTTTTATGACACAGAGATTAATTTAAAAACATAAAAAAATTTTCGAAAATAACTTCGAATTTTCGAACTTAATTTCGAATATTCGAACATATTATTGTATTGTCATCAGATGTACTTATGACTGCAAAATTTCAGCCAATTTGGGCTACGGAAACTGGATTTAAAAGCTTTTAAACCTCGAATCTTCGAAAAATGTTCCTTAATATATTTTTCGACAATTATAAATACTAATTAAATTCGTTTTTGAAAATTCATTATCAAATTCATTACCATTATCAAAAAAAGTTATAATGAAAAAAATATAATTTTCATTAAATGGTACTTAAAATATTTTTCATTACAATTTTTTCTATAAATGGTAATGAAATTTTAATGCTTAATGAAAAATTCCCATGTATGATTTTCACTTTTCACATTCAAGTGCTGTGAGACCTGTTAAAGGCCTGGGAAATTTACAATAATTTTTAAATTGCTTGGTTCTGCTATAGATAGGTTGGAAGGCAAACACTCAAATTAGGTTGCTACACTGTAAGAAATTCATAGCTCAATTTTAGCTTCATTCATAAAGGTTATCAAATGTTTGAAAATTTAAAGATTTTTGATACTACGCAAATTGCTGTAAGATTTGATTATGGAATATTTAGTTCTACTGACGTCAAGTTTCGAACATTCAAAAATCAAATGTTGAGGAGTCTTCTGAATATTTACCGTCATAGACATGACCAGATAACATTATATAGTTTTACTGTCCTTGGGACACTAATACATCTCTCGCTAGAAGGAAGTTTATCAGCCAGCGCATAGATCACCTGGACCGACATGGATCTTTTCTGTCCAAGACCAACACAAAATCTCTATAAAATAATAATAAAATCTTTCTAATCCATTCCACATATATTTCAGGAATCTGGAGACTACTTAAAATTGTCATCAAAACATTACGTAAAAAATCATTTAAACACATAGACGATGATCTTCTCTTTCTGTATTCTTTCAGGAATAATGGAGTTATCGTTAATGAATTTGGTTATTCTCTCGGTAATCATCATGTTGACAATTTTAAGTAAAGTAAGCAATTGGACCGAGATTCAAGTTTTCGTCCTGTTTCCGTATTGATTGTATCTTAATCTAACGTTAGATTCCAAAAAAAACGTTATTTAAAACTATTAATAGGGAACATTTAGCATAATCTGGTAGCGCAGGGTAATCTCGTCAACTCCTCCTTACTCTCTGGTTTTGGTTTTTGCTGGAGCATGTTGTAATTCTTTAAAAGTGAAAGCTGGTTTACCATCATCCCATGCTCTAATAACGTTGACGTTTGGTATTTCATAGGTACAATTAGACGAGCCATATACCGGAACTTGCTTCCTTAAAAATTGTAAATAAAGTTGATTATTGTCACTATTCAAGGCGAAGGCGAAGTCATTAACACTGCCAAAAAAGCGGCAGGTTATTGAGGTGATTGAGCGTAGATATGGATTTGTTCTTAGCAAAACATTTTCTTACCTAGGAAACCACCACAATTGGTTAAAGATGTCTGCCTGCAGGAAGCATAGACTCAATATTCCAATTAGTTGTACATTGAGTGTTAGTAAAAGTTAAATAAAGTACAGTACCCATTGATCCACTAA